TATACTTATATGCATATGAATATGTAGATATAGGTGTATATGTGTGCATATGTATATGTGTATATATGTATATGTAAATATATTTATATGCATATTCCTATATGTACATGTATTAATATGTAAACCTAATAGTACTTGTATGGATTAAATATTGAAATCTAGTAGCACATGTATGCAAATATGTAAAATTAGTATCACGTGCACTTAAATATATAAATTGGTAGCAGGTGGCATACTTGGGATGCCTTCAATGTTGTTATTGTCGAGAGATCTTTCGAAATATATATTTATTTACTCGGGTGAAACAGATACAGTACATGAGTACAATGTACATGCTTCTATTTTTATCACAAGGTGAATAGTAACTATAGTACCGACTCCGTCGATTTACTGCCCAATCATCAAAGGCTACTTGCCGGAGAGATCTAGCGCATTCCAAATCTATAAATAGATTGGAATTTCATTCAACTTCTATCACAGTTTTGAGTTTTGAGTTTTCGCATATTTAAGTGAAGCCGTGAAGGCATATAGCTAAATAAATTAGACCGTGTCAAACACATACGTGTGTGTATCATATTACGCTATGACCAACATGGAGATGCAAAACTTGAGCCATCGAGGCCACGATGACGAAGACTTTGACGACGCTCTTCTGTTACCCCGAGGAAGTGCTCGAAGGCAAAGGGGGGGGAGGGGTAGACGCACACCAAAGCAGACTCTGTTTATGGGTGGCATAGCAACTGTTGTTATAATATTTCTGGTTATGTTCATGAGAGGTATGTTGGTCTTGGCTAGAATGATTGTGGGATAGAGATTTAGTTATAATGTTAGTTGAGGAGATTTTAACTTGTCCCGAATTACGAAGATCTTCCTGATATACCCAATAGAGGTTATCAAATATGAGATATTTTGCTTGAATTACGAGCATGCTGTTTCTATTTTTTGTTTATGGATATCTTGTTTCTACATGTGCAAGTATCTATATTCATCTATACACATACGCGCAGACACACACACACGCAAAACACACGTTTACACCCACATACGTGTACACACACAC